GGAGTGGTTGAGCACGGTGATAGGTGGAAATGTGCTGGCTGACGTGTAAACTCAACCACGTTTGGTTTGGTTACGGCACAGAATCACAGAGTCATTAAGGTTGGAAAGGGCCTCCAGGATCACCCAGTCCAACATCAACCCAACCCCCCACCATGGCCACCAAACCATGTCCCCAAGTGCCACATCCACACGGTTTTGAACCCCTCCACACTGCCCTGGGCAGCGCTGTGAAAGGTTGCCACCAGATCTGGTCAGAAATAGGTTATTTGTTGGATTTTACAAATAATAATTTCAAAACTGCAAATGGTTTTCCCTTTCTCCTTGCAGTACGGATTCAACATGGTCATGTCGCACCCGCACGCCGTTAATGAAATTGCACTAAGTTTGAACAACAAGAACCCCAGGTAGGCTGCACTCCCTTTTAGAGACTTTAACAAGTGGGTAAGTAAAGAGTACACGGAGAAGGGATTTTCAGGGGTATCTTTATGCAGATTTAACCTGTATTACAGTGCAAATAGGTGAGCAATTGCTCTGGACTTGCAGCTGGAAGTTCAATGCTCAGGTGCTCCCCACAGCTCTGTGGCAGTGCAAAGCAGACCCTGCTGATCATGAGCGGCTTAGCACGGTATTTTCCTGAGGAGCAGCAAAATCTTCTTAACTGATGTTGTCTGAGGGCCCTTAGGTTTGCATTTCCTCGAGGGTTTGATGCTGTAGTTGCACCCTGTCCCCTCTTCTCCCCGCACACACTCGCGACCCTGGCAGCCGCTTCCAGTGCGACCTGGAGCTGCGGAGCTCTTGCACGTCTAACGAAACCCAGCCTGACAGCAGAGATGAGGCAAACCCAGATGACACCATGGATGTGTACACAGATACAGAAATACATCTATGGGCTTTGCTTAGGCTGTCCACTTGCCTTACAGCGCACTGCTTGAAACCTTGTCCCCGTGGAAGCGGCTGCTTCCTTCCTTCCTTTTCTTTAGCCCTCAGTCAGCAACCCCAGCCACGAGATAGATGGGAAGGGTGTGAGGAGTTTATTGTTTTGGTCATTTTTGGTGTCCTGTGCCTGGAAATCAGGTGATCAAGAGGGGGGGGCAAGAATTGAAAATGATACATGTAAAATTTCCTAGGAAAGTGAACATTTTCTCTGCTTTGCAAAGATAACCTTGACACTTTGAAAGCCAAAAGGTATTTCTTTTTTCGGTAACATCTGGTTTGAGTCAGTGCTTTAGCATGAGACTAATTTCCTATGTGTCTGCATGACTTTAATACCTGCTCACAGCTCAGCTGGCCGTAAAGTCCAGTTGGTGCTTTTGCCTTATGTGAACCCTGTAAGAAAGTACTGGAGATCACTGATGTTAGAGTTATACCAAGTGTGCTGCATGGTTTTCTCTCTGTAATCTCTTGTCTTCTCTCATTAATTTGCCTGCGTTAGCACTGCTGTCAATCAGTCGCCCAGATTTCTGCTTCAAGAGGGGAAAGATGTCCTAAACCACCTCTTTATTGGTTTTTGTAGCTATGAATAATACCAGTTATCACAGAAAATACTTCAGATTTGTATCGGGAAAAGCACAGATCTGAATTATGAGCAGATGCATTAAAAGCTGGGCTTTTAAAGGAAACGGGCTGCGTTGTGGTGAAGACAGCTGGGTAACGGCTTGATGTGGGGTGATCCCAGTGATCCCAGTGATCCCAGCTCTCTGGGGTGTGCTGGGGAGCTCTGCAGGCGTACGAGCGGTCCAAGGCCGATGTCGTCGTCCTCCTTTGCCAGATTTTGGCAACTGCCTTTGGTTTGCTGGAGTTTGTGGTTTGAGTTTGTGCATGTTTTGAGGAGTGTGAAAACAGGGGAGAACCGCGTGATCCTGGGACAGCCAAAACGCCCTGGACCGGGGGGTGCCCAGCGCTGTGCATCGCGCAGGTTTAGTTCAGGAGGTATCAAATACAGGGGGTGCAAACTGCGTCTCCCAGGGCCTCCACAGCCCCTTTGCAAGCAGGTGCAGAGGAGGTGCATCTTTACACGGTGGTCACCGACTGCTGTGGTTTCTTCTCTTCGCAGGACAAAAGCCCTCGTCTTAGAGCTTTTGGCGGCCGTTTGCCTCGTCAGGGGAGGACACGAAATCATTTTGTCTGCGTTCGATAACTTTAAAGAGGTACGTGATGCTGCTTTATTACAATCTGATGTGCGTGCTGATAGTTCTCTTACAAGGTGTTGCCTAAAGCTTTCTCATTCAGCTGAATTTCCTAGATTTCCATTAACTGCAGGTTTTCCGTGTATCACTTTGAGCTGCAAAGAATCAACGGTGGTGTCGGTGCCATCGTTTTGTGCACTTTTGCATAGAAAAGCCATAATCCCAACAAAATTAATCCAGGTTATGAATTGCTCCCTCTGCTTCTTGGTCAGTCAAGATGTGTCCTTGAAGTGGAAAATTCATGGAGATCTTGAGCGCTTTACTCCAGGTCTTCTGTCTCTGAATGCTTTTGTGTGGTCTTGGATGAAACAACCAGGAATGGTGTCTTAGATTTGCCGTTTTCAGAGCCATTTACGCCTGGTTTTACTATCAGTATATTTATTTATTTGTGAAGAAATTGCAACATCCAGTCTCTGTGGTACAATGGTGACTGCTGAAATGAGTACAGGTACTCCAGTGTCATTTGTAGGTGTATGCGTTCGAGAATACCGCGTGTTTGCATACAGCGGTTAATGGGATCTGGGAACATCGTGTGTATGTTCAGAAGCACCAGTGTGAGAATCAAGTCCTAGAAAGCTGCTGTTGGAGTTTATTTTGAATATTGGATATACGTGTGGATTTATTATAAAAAGAAGTATGAACCTAGACTTTCCAGCTCAAAAACTGTTAGCCTCGATGAGTCCCAAGTGGGTTGTGTATACACACGTAGCACACATATTGTGTACAGACACATCAGTGCCACTGCTGTACGTGGGTTAGTGCAGATGGTCAACAAGCCAAGTTGTTATTTTTTTACTTTTTGTGTTTGGGGAATTCTTTCTGGCGACAAGATCCCGATCTCTGCTTTACGCCCGCTGTAAATATTTGCATGTGGTAGACCAATAACCCCATTTCTGAGGTGCTCAGCAGTACATGCAGCCACAGCAAAAGGTCTGAAGTGATCTCTGGTGTGGGCCTGTGGTAGAAGGCTCCACTTTGCAAGAGCAGAGCTGTCCTGGATGGGAGCTGTGGGCACGCAGAGCCGCCTCAGGACAGAGGTGATGGGGAAGTCGAGCTGGAAGTCATGTGTAACCGTGGAGGAAGCCTTGGTCTGTGCAATCATTTTCCAATGGAAAGTAATTTTTAAAAATAAATCTTGACAAGAGTCAGATCAAGCGCGGCTTTCCTGCTCAATCAGACCTGAGAACCAAATCCTGTCCTCATTTACATCAGAGCAAAGCTCAAAGCCCAAGGAAATATTTGATGTTCACCCTGATGCAAATGAGAGCAGAATTTGGTCTGAAATACCCCGTTTTCCCTACTGACTTCATTACAGGGTGAGCACTAGGCAGGAGTTCAGGGTTCTTTTGAAGTTATTTAATGGCAAGGAGATAGAGAAACAGAGATTATCTCTGCTAGACCTCATTAATGTTCATCAATCTGTAAAGGGCAGTGTCAGGAGGAAGGAGCCAGGCTCTGCTCTGGGATGGCCAATGGCAGGACAAGGGGCAATGGTCCCAAGCTGGAGCACAGGAGGTTCAAGCTGAAGATGAGGCCAAAGTTTGTGAGTGTGAGGGTTCTGGAGCATGGCCCAGGCTGCCCAGAGAGGTTGTGGAGTCTCCTTGTGTGGAGACACCCAAAGCCCTGGCCGTGTTCCTGTGTGACTGCTCTGGTGCTCCTGCTGTGGCAGAGGTTGCACTGGGGGAGCTTTCCAGGTCCCTTCCCACTCCTCACATTCTGGGATTGTCCCAGAGCTGCTCTGTTATCTCACCAGAATCTCACCATAATCAAAACTGCTGCGTTCGTTGTGCCTCACCAAGGAAGGACGTTTTCAGGTCGATGAGTTTCTGCAGATGGAGATCTCTTAATCATCAGTGCCACCGGGTTTCTGAATATACCTCACAGCACTGAACTGACATCTTAAGGAGCAGAGTCTTGGATCCTCACGCAGCTTTTCGTTCCTCTCCATTTTAAACATAGGAGAATTCACTTCAATAACAACAAAGTATTTCTGGGAAAAGACCAGAGGACTCTACCACTCTTTTTATTTTTCTTAATAAGCACAATGGTGGTTTCAAAAGGGATCCAGACCGAGGAGGCAGAGGCATTGCCTGGGATGTGCAGCGAGACAGAAAAGCAGCCAGAAGTAATCCTGGCGCTCTGCAGGGAACGCTTCCTGACATTGGCTCCCGTCCCGCCGAGCAGTTAAACTGCTCATTACACAAAGAGGTACCAGAAAAATTGAATTGGGTAAGGTGAGCGTGTGCTTGTGGGCTTCCCTGCATGGGAGGTAATTTTGGGGTTTGAAAATAGTAATGGAATTGAGGTGCTTTTCCTAAGAGGAGCTGTACCTTCCGTGAAACCGCCTCGTTTTGCTCCGAGACAAGAGGAAACGCCAAAAAATAAGTGGGAATTCAGATTATCCAGACAATTTCGGGAAGTTGATGGTCTGGTGGTTATTCCAGTGTCTGAACATCCCCAAGTGCTGGGGTGAGAGGAGCAGGCCTGACCTGGGGACCAGGGCATGAGAGACGAGCAGGGTTTGGCACAACCGCGCTCCCACTCCTGCTTGTTTTCACATCAGTTAAATCAGTCTGTGGGTTTGCCTCTGTGCAATGCCAACAAGGTGAGAGGAATTAATTAACTAGAATTAATGTGGCTCTTAAAGCCGAGCTTACAGAGGCCGGGTCCACCCGAATCGCTGCAAACCAACCTCTGTGTTTGACCTCCATCGCTGTTTCACGGAGCGAGGCAGCATCGTCCAGCCTTGCACAGCGCTGACTTCAGAGTCGCCTTTATTTGAATGATGAATTTTGGCACTGCAAACGGCCGTCCTGAATTATTCTTACAGGCCATTATAATGGCTCAGAGCTGGGACAAACTGTTTGCAAGCGCTGGAAAATGTCGATACGTTCATTGTCTTTACCGCAGCGGCTGTTTTGAGAGAGCCTTAACCCCACCGCTAGAGAAGGAACAGGTATTTTAAGCTAGCAGGTATTAAATAACTGTTTGCTTAACCAGCCAGCTATGGGAGAAGTGATTTTCTTGTGCAAAGTGCAGGGATGTCGGCGTGCTCAGGGTGCAAGCAGCACTGGTACCAGGCTGGGGTCTGCGGGGCAGAGAAAGGCAGCGTTGTGCTGCCGGACAAAGGAGCACAGAGGGGAATTTTGGGGTTGGGTGTGCATCGGGCTGTTTGTAACCCCTGGGTTGTAGCCCGCTCGAATGGGCTGTGTGCGAATTTGCTGTGAAATGGGGCTTCTTGCTCTTATACGACCCAAGAAGTTATTGAGGGGCAGCTTAAAACAGCCTTAGGGCAACACACGGCCTGACAGAAAAAGTCCTGTATTGCAAAGCCTTTCCTAAGGCTTAAATATTTAAAATTTGGTCCTCCAGAGCATCGTTTTCCCTGCCTTAAGTGACTTTGCCATGCCAGACCACATGCAGCCAAATCGGCTTCATTTTCTCCATGGATTTTGGGCCCACCAGGCGTTACCAGCTCCCTGGCATTCTGTGAGCTGATGAGCTGGCTAAAATCTCCTCTACAAACACACACTGAGGGCTCGGAGCTGTCGCTCTGTCCCCTTTCTGACAGCCGCAGTGTCTGGATGGAGCACAGCATCTCAGGAGCATCGCAGCTCCACATGTGGAGGAGGGAACATGTGGCAGCGGCCAACAAGCTGCAGCTCCAGAACCCAAAATTCATCCCGCACTCACTACCACAGAGCACAGCGTATCTGCATTGTTTGTATTTTTGCCCAAATCCCCAGGCCTTTGCCTTCCTGGAGCGTTCTGGGGTAGCTCAGCCGCGTGAGCAGCAGCAACACGCGCCGTAGCTGCACGTCGCTCTTGGGTGGTCTGGACCTGAACCGTGCGACCCTGGAGCGTTCCCAGGTGGAGGTGGATGCCATCGTCACCCAATTCTTCATAACGGATCCGTGAGCTTCCTTGCGTTGGACCTTTGTAATGGATCCGTGACGAGTTTGCTTCGTTAGCGCCCAGGGAAAGGGCCCGTCGTGGGTGGTTTGCCACAAAGCCACATTGTTCTTCTAGAGCGACGTGGGCTTAAGGCAACCTGCAATGTGTTTTTTCGCAGCCTAAGCAGAGACAGAGGGGTTTTTTTATAGCTGTGGTAACCCGTTTAATCTCGCTCCTTACACAGAATAATGCTAATAAAAGAAAAGCTCGGCCTCCCGTCGGCCCAGCCTTACTTTGCAAAATGACAGACCTTGGAAATTTATTAAAATATAAACGGCAACACATGGTTTGATGCGGTGGGATTTGATTTCAGCGTTGGCCTTGGATGGTGGCCAGCCTCCGGGCTGCAGGCTTCGGCTCCGGTTCCCCTCTCTTTAATCTTCCGGGATAAATTATATCATTTGGTGGAAGTCAGCTCGCCGTCTCTCGCGGCGCACGCGTTCCCAGCCCCGACTCGTCTGACGATAGCGAGAGTTAAGCACGAGCAGCCCCTGAAAACCACAGGTTGGCGGTGCTTTTCCTCCCGCCATCGCCCGCTGCATCCCGGGATCGGGGCTGCACCACTTCGGGCTGCTCCCTCATTTAATTAGACAGCCAGGAACGGTTTGTAGATGTTTATGTCGGCTTTTCTCACCCATCTGGAACGGTTTCCAGTGGATTTCTCAGAAATCAATGCTGCTGGCTTTTACTGGTGAGCGATCGGAGGCACCGTCGCTGTGTTTGCTTCCGCAGTAGGTGATTTTGTTTCAATCCCATTTTTTCTGAGGCGGGCACAAGCCAGATGTGATGGTAGGAAAGAATGGTCTGGGATAACAACGCAGGGACGGGTGCATCCGAGCAGCCTGTGCTGCAAGACGAGGTTCCTCGGGTTTGCTTTGCGCAGGAGCTGGACCAGACCCAGCGAATGCCTCCAAAATCAAATTATGTCTGCCTTGGATCCTTGCAGTGCCAGGAGGAGAAACTCAGCCCCATTCTGGGTTTCTCTTTGGCTCTTCCTTATGGAGAGCGGCCTTTTCGCAGCGTTTCTTCATTTCCTCGTGAAGGACGCGTTGTTCCTGCAGGGATGTGAGCGTGTCCTGGAGATGCCGCCGCAGAGCTGCGTGTGGTCGTGCATTTTGGTGGCCCCTCGGTAAGAAGGTGCCTGGTAGGGTGCTTGTGGTAGGTGCTCAGAGCAGGCCACGGTGCTGCATGTTCAATAAACCTGAGCTTATTCACCACGAAATGATTCCTGGTCCTGGTGATTCTGTCCCTCTGCTCTGCTCTGGTCAGACCCCACCTGGATTCTGTGATCAGTTTTGGAGTCCCCAACACCAAAAGGCCATTGAGGTGCTGGAGCAGATCCACAGGAGGCCACAAAGATGCTGAGGGGCTGGAGCAGCTCTGCTCTGGGGACAGCTGAGAGAGTTGGGGTTGTTCAGCCTGGAGAAGAGAAGGCTCCAGGGGAACCTTATAGCGACCTTCCAGGACCTGAAAGGTGCCTGTAAGAAATCTGGGCAGAGCTGTTCACTGGGGCATGGAGCGATAGGACGAGGGGGGATGGTTTTAAACTGGACAAGGGCAGATTTAGGTTGGATCTGAGGAAAAAGCTCTTCCCCATGAGGTGGTTGATCAGTGGCACAGGTTGCCCAGAGGTGGTGCATCCCTGGAGATGTTCAAGGTACTGATGGGGTCTGAGCACCCTGATCTGGTACCAGTGTCCCTGCTACTGCACGGTTGGACTCGAGGAGCTGTAAAGGTCCCCTCCACCCCAAACCATGCTGTGGTTCTGTGAATTTGGGTTTGAGTTTGGCCATTGGGTGACTTTGTAGGGCCTAGGGCTCTTCCCCAGGCTCTTGCTCTGGGGGGCTGGGGCAGGGGCTCACTTGCCTGCCCTCAGTTTTGGTTGGAGCTGCTCTAACCATAATGCTTCAAAACCATTTCCATGGCATAGGCTGTGGAGAGAGCAGAGTCCTTTGGGTTTAAGATCATCATCATTTGCATCTGTCTTTCACGAGGGAGTACACTTTGTTGTTTAAGTGTGTTTGTTTTACCTTGTGAGTCTCTACGGTTTGGCTGGACACGTTTAAATACAACTTCACAACTGTTTGGGTGGACTTGAGCTGTGCAAGAGGGGTCGCTGAGCCTCTACAGGCCCCATCAGTTGCAAACTGAGGGTTTGTGGCCGTGAATTTTGATGGTCCTGTTATCCAATAGCTCATCACAAGCAGCGTCCCCGTCCTCCTGCAGAGACCCAGTGGCAGAACTCCCAGTGACGTCAGGTACCGACCACAAATATCTGAATAATAACCCGGTTTGTGGCCGTTTCGCTTAGGAATGGCAGAAAACAGCTCACATATGCCACAATTATGGTTTATTCAGTCATAACAGACAGAGAAAGTGTGGCGAGAGGTTGCTCAGATGGCCGTGACCCGCAGTGCTTTGCAGATGTCCCCATCAGCTCTGCTTGGGTCCCACTGAACTCCATGGAGAAGCTCCCACTGACTCCAGTGAGGTCTACTCGGTGCCTTAAACGTTGTGTAGGTACGTGCTACAAGGCAGGAAAGAGGAAGCTGGTACAGGAATAGTAATAATAATGCATACTTTGTGAAGAATTTGCTTTTGGGGGGTGTCAAGACACCCCAGTAGGAGATCTGGGTCTCCTTGTGGGAGACACAGATGTAGAAATACATTAAAGAACCGGTCCCTGCCCCAGAGAGGTTTCTCAAGAAGCAGCCGGTGCTCCCACCGGTCCTTAATTACCGTTCACTGGCTAATTTCCCATAAATTCTGTACCAAATATGAGGATGGGGAAGTGGCTGCACCTCCTGGCGCTCACCTCCGCTCCCTTTTGCTGTCCAGTCTGTTAAGTGTTTTGTGACTTTGGGGTGGGTTACTCTCCATCGTTTGTGTGCTGAGGAAAGCAGGACTGAGCCAGAGAAGCTATGGGGAAGTCATAAGATTTAAGCAATATCCTGAGACCTGCTTTATCTTAGATCTTATTTCTCCTTCAAGTTTCCTGCCAACACCCCTGGGTTATGGCTCAGTAATTCAGATAGTTACGCTCGTGTATTTCACTCCTTACTTGGCCAGGGATAATTTTCCTTTCTTCCTCTCTGTAATTTGTTCTTCTTCCTCGTTACGTTACATTACAGCAGGTTCTGAACTGAGGAGACCGAGTCTTCCCGTGGCACAGCCTGGTGCAGCCCTGTTGGCACCATCAGTGGGTACCATTACGTTTTTAGGGGGGAAAGAGATGCAAAGAGTTATGTTCAAATTGTACCTGACCCGTTAAACTTGCAGCACGAGTGTTCACATGGGATTATTCAGCTGGATTTGTCCTGAAGAAGAATATTTGTAATGAGAGAAGAAACCTGGATGGAGAGCGAGCCAATAAGTTGCTTTTTCAATGGTTTTCGCGCCCTCTCTTGCACGCTGTAGTTTAACAACCACGTGGTGATCCTTTTGTAGGTGTGTGGAGAGAAACAGCGCTTTGAGAAGCTGATGGAGCACTTCCGCAATGAAGACAACAACATAGACTTCATGGTGAGTGCCGTTTATCATCAGCAAACCTTGGTTTCGGTGCTCGCTGTGTCAGGTCCTGCTGTTGCAGGGCTCATCGACCTGATCCTTGGCCTAAAATTTCCACACGCAGTTGATCTTATGTTCCAGTTCACTCAACGTGCGTTTCATTTCTAGCTGCCGCTCCAGAACAGCCTTGTAGCGCAGTGAAGGTAAGAGGACAGCGGTGGTTTGGGCCCGTGTGCTCTCTGTCCGCGGCACAGCAGCAGCTTCTGCGCTATCCAGACGCATCCTCTGCCCGGGTGCCTGCGGCCGCCGAGCCCCAGACGGGGAAGTGCGGGAGAGCCGGGCTCGGCCGCTGCCTGCCCACGTCTGCTGGTAAATACAGCAGCGGCTTGCGCCACTTCTGGTTCCTCGTGTGCCTGTGCATGGTTCTTCACAAATCCACTTCCCCCGGAGCCCGCACGAGGGGAAGCTCTGCCTGGCACCCACCAACACCGGCCCCAGCTTGCACACCGGCAGCACGAGAGAGGCCGAGGTCGGCACAGCCGTATCAGAAATGCTTCTCTGTCTGTTTGTTTATGGCAGTTAAAGCCCTGTTTTTAACTACAAACTGAAGGCCGTGCTGGCATGGTGAGTGCAGTCTCCCCTGCGCTGCTGGGATCTGATGTGATCCTGTTTTGGGGTGAGAGCAGGGCAGGAGGGCTTCCACCCCATCACACTGAGCCCTCTGTTAAGCATCTCAGACACTTAATGCTGTTGTAGTGCCGAGCTTTGTGTTAAAATCCTCTTTCTGCCAGGAATTGGGTGTTTGAGCACCCACTGTGGTGTTTCCAATGCTCTGGTGTCAGTGGCTTGCGGCCCCCATGGCCAGGGTGGGCGCACACCCGTGAGGAGACAGCAGAATGAAAAGGAAGGGGTGTGAGCAAGATGTTATGGCCTCTTTTATGGATTTAAAAGCCAAAAATACCTTAGTGATCCCTGCAACTTTACTCTCAGTAACTCTCTGGTGTCTTACAGCTGGTTTTGTTCCTTATTTCTGCGATCTCAGTAGGGACATGTTGGTAGTCACAGGAATGTTAATGTACTTACAGTTTAGTTTGTAATTTAACAGAAGGATTTGTCCATCCCCAACACCCAGCTCTGGCCCGTTTTTCCTGTGCTCACAGGGAGGGGTAATGGTATTTGGGGAGGGGGAGAGCAGCACGGTTTAGTGCCGCACCACCAAGGTGTGCCAAGACATCGCTCCTTTCCTCAGGACGAGATAAAATGGCTGCTGGAGCTCCAGCTCCAGGGCGTAGCATTAAATCTGGAGTAATTCAAGGGGTTGGAACAACTGAACGTAAATAAAGAGCTGCTCCTGCAGGACCTGCCCTAAATGTCAAAGGCGAGAGCTGTTTGGGATGCCGGGGCTGAAGGGGCTGCATGGATCCACAGGGACGAAAGAGCAACAGAAAGGCAGAAGTATTTGAGAGAAGGTTCCTGTTGCTGACATTGACTCACTCCGTGTTGAAAGCAGCTTGCTTGGATTGGTTTTCTTGGACTTGATAAATTCCTCAGTTGTGTGCGTAAGGATCTGAGAAAGGAAATGAGAATTTGGCCCTGGCGTGGTGAGAGCCAGAGCCAGTGCAACAAAAGCGCTTTTGAAACAGGGGAATTTGGCTGTGGGCGATGGGACAGGACAGGACAGCGGGGTTCAGCTGGCGGAGACCAGTACCAGCACTGGGAGGAACTGGGATTCTCCACAGGAACTGGAAAGAGCCCTGCAGGAACTCGAAACCCAAAGTTGGGTTTCCCACTGCATGGTTGTGGTGTTTGTGTAAGAGACGGGCACACAGGGAAAGGTGGGGATGGGGCATCACCAGGGCTCCTGGATGAGCCTGTGACCATCTCCCTTCCTCTCTTGGGGATCAATCAGTCTCACGGCCTTCATTATCTGGGGTTAAAGTCATTTTGGAAACGGAGTGGTTACAGCTGCTTATGGGAAGATAGGGTTTGAGCTGTGGTTAACCATTTTGGCTTGCTGTGCCCCTGTGGTCCTGGTTCCTCCAAAGCTGGGCAGCACCAAGTGTGCACTCTCTTGGGGACTCGTCCTGTGGGTAAAATCGGGTTGCTTCACTTTTATCTTCTCAGGTTTGTTCTGGCAATCTGGGAAGTGTCTCAGTAGATTCTGAGAAGCTGGTATCACCCCTGTTGGTAGCAGGGCAGGGGTTTGCCCTTGAGAAACCCAGCAAGGACCACACAAACCCTCTCTTAAAGCATCTCAGGAGCTGGTATCACCCCTTTTGGTAGCAGGGTAGGAGTTTGCCCTTGAGAAACCCAGCAAGGACCACACAAACCCTCTCTTAAAGCATCTCAGGAGCTGGTATCACCCCTTTTGGTAGCAGGGTAGGAGTTTGCCCTTGGGAAACCCAGCAAGGACCACACAAACCCTCTCTTAAAGCATCTCAAAAGGTGACAGCATCTCTGTGAGCTGGGAGAGCGCTGGGGATCTTTGTGCAGAGCAGGATTTGGCCATGCCGTACGTTCAAGTACAGGGCAAAGCTTTTGGGGTTTGTAGCCCGATTCCCGCTGCTCCGCAGGAATCTTTCCTCCACTGAGATATATTTGGATGCCAACTCCTCTGGCCTGGTCCCTCGCTCGGTTACCAAACCACAGCTTTGGAAATGGGCTTTCTGCAGACAACAAAGCGCCTTTTGTGAAGGTCCCGTTTCCTAAGCGAGGGCTTGCAGTTGCAAAGTTAATCTCACTTTTACGGGCCGTTTCAGAAACTGCATTGTTTTCCTAAGAGCTTGTACAGCGTCTGGCCCTGCGAGCTGGCATGGAAAGCGTCTCTGTTCCCCGGCACGCAGTAAAGGTGGACTCTGCAGACATGACTTAATTTCTGGAACCCACGTTTGCCTTTATCGCAGCAAACAAAAATCCATCACCGGCTTGGAAAAAACCTGCGGAATAACGGATCACGGTTTCCCCTCGTAGCAACCACAAGGAAACGCGGGCGTTTGCTGCGTCTGACCCGCGGGAGCCACACCTGGGGCTTTCGGGGGGCAGCCGTGGCCGTGCCGTCACCTCTGGGTTTCTCCTTGCAGGTGGCCTGCATGCAGTTCATCAACATCGTGGTCCACTCGGTGGAGGACATGAACTTCAGGGTGCACCTGCAGTACGAGTTCACGAAGCTCGGGCTGGACGAGTACTTGGACGTGAGTACAGCGCATCTGCATCACCTCACAGCGTGGGTCTGCTCCGGGGCTGCACCCACCTGAGCCTCGGTGGGACCACACTGCATTCCCCAGCTCTGCTGCTGCCCCACCTGGCCTTAAACCCCCTTAAACCCCCCTTAAACCCCTTAAAACCTCCACAAACCCCCTCACCCAAGAGGTTTTGGGAGGGCAGAGCGGTGTTGTCCCATGGTCTCTTGGAAAATGCTGTTCCTTGGCTGCTGGCTGGGGGCTGTGGCCTGGAGCCGCCCCTGCTGGAGGAAAATCGGCTGCAGCTGCAATTACAGACTGGGAGCTAAATTTGTAGCTTATAACAAAGGGAGGATGAACCACAGTCGTCCTTGCCCGCGCCACGTCCCTGACCTCCGGCTGTAGAGCTCCTGTGGCTCCAGCTCAGGTGCCACCAGGGCCACCTCTGTCTCCATATGAATAAATCCTCCTTGGGGTTTCTCCTACAGCCAGGCATTTCCTGGTGTCCCGTGGGTAATCACAGAACTATTAAGATTGGAAGAGACCTCTAAGATCATCAAGTCATCGTCAACCCAACCCCACCATGGCCATAAACCACGTCTCCAAGTGCCACATCCACACAATTTGTGAACCCCTCCAGGGATGGGGACTCCACCACTGCCCTGGGCAGCCCCTGCCAGTGCTTGGCCACTCTTTCATAACGAAATTTCCCCTCAGATCCAACCTCACCCTTCCCTGGCACAACTTGAGGCTGTTTCCTCTCATCCCATCACTTGTAAATTGGGAGAAGAGACCAACCCCCATCCTTACCCCCTCCTTTCAGGAGGTACCTGGTGATGCTGAGCACAGCTCTGGGGTCCCAGCGTGGCACAGACCCTGCAGCCCACTGGGACCGCAGTTAATGTTAAAATGCAAAGTGTTTTCCTGGGTGATGGAGGTGGCCTGAGCTCCCACCTCTTTCCCACCCCATTTGTGGTCTGTGTCCCTCTCATGACACCCTTCTCTTCTTGGGTCTGCAGAAACTGAAGCACACGGAGAGCGACAAGCTGCAGGTGCAAATCCAGGCGTACCTGGATAACGTCTTCGATGTGGGAGCTCTGCTGGAGGATGCTGAAACCAAGAACGCAGCCCTGGAAAGGGTGGAAGAACTGGAAGAAAACATTTCCCATGTTAGTACCACACTCATCACTTCTGTCTGGCTCAGAGCCTGCTCTGCGCATGGGCTTGCTACAGCCTTTGGGTTAGGTTCACTTAGAAAAGGGAGCTTACAAAAAGTCCTGAAAGGCTTAGGGCTACTGCACTTGTGTATGGGGGAATAATCAGATATTGGGCAAATGGAGGAATGTGGGAGATCTCCCCCAGTTTGGTGGGAGGGGGTGACCCCTGTGCTTGGGGTCAAGCCAAGGAGTGCACCCCAAGACCCTGGCATAGGAGATTTGCACTTGGAGGCTGCAGTTTTGGATGTGGTTCCAGGTGGAGTCGCTTGGTGCAGCGAGCCCCTGCGCAGAATTACCTTAATGAGCTCATTTACATAGAAATTGCCCATTTCTCAGCAATGCAGTACCATAAATAGAGCAGATAACCATCCTGTGCTGAAAACACATCAGTGGGCTCAGGAGGGAGAACCAGCGCTGTGCAGGTACTCAGTGTTTGCTCAGTTCGGTGTTTGCTCACCGCTTTTCTGTCCTGCACCTTCTTGGTGTCCTTTAATTTAGTCTGGCAAACATGGCTTGGCTTTTTAAAAATCAAGGTGTTTTTCCATACTTAAAAAAACCATAAAAGGGTCGTCATTCTCTCACCATTCCTATATTGCCATCACTTAGAATAAATATGTCCTTAAAACACTTGGCTGGGCAGTATTTGCCCCTCGGAGGTGCCCTCCTGCTAGTTGTAGAAATCACTTTGGGATTGAAATAATTGCATTTTAAGTGCTTAATTGTAGAGTATGCTCTCTTACCTGGGCAGGGCCATAGCTACAGTCCAGCCAGGTGACCATCAGGGGAACCTCCATGGGGCATTTAGTGCCCCCCAACCTTTCTCTTTGCAAAGAAAGACCTCAGGGTTTGATGGAATAGCCATAATTGACCACGTACCACTGCTCCAATGAGCACTCCTGATGTTTTGCTTGAGAAAGCCACTGTTACCACTTACATCACGTATCTCTCTTTGGAACGACAGTTATCCGAAAAGCTCCAGGACACGGAGAACGAGGCCATGGCGAAGATTGTGGAGCTGGAGAAGCAGCTGATGCAGAGGAACAAAGAGCTGGATGTGATTCGGGTGAGTGCCGTGGGACAGCTCTGCCTGGGTAGCACGCTCCAGGATCAGAGATCTCCCATGCCCTCGGTGTGTGGGAGGTCAGAACTCTTTAATGGGCCAGGAGACTTCTGGTAGCTTCCTACTTGTGAACCTAGGGCAGATTTTGGGCGGAGTTACTGGTGTGTGGGTCGATGTAAAACTCACACCAGTCCATGAGGCAGGTGCATGGCATTGCTCAGCTCTGTGGTATCTGTGCTTGGGGTTTTGGACATGTGGAGGTGGACCTGGAGTCCATTGGGGTTGCACAGCAGCAGGACAGGCTTAGTAGTAAAAATTCTGAGTATAATATTAACTAACTTCAGCCCAAATGTGGTCCCGAAGTGTGGTGCTTCTGGGCTGTGCTGTTTCTGGTGTCGGCGCCCTGTTTTGTGAGTGCGAGTGCAAATTCCTCGTTCCTGTTCGCAGGAGATCTACAAAGATGCCAACACCCAGGTCCACACCTTGAGGAAAATGGTGAAGGAAAAAGAAGAGGCCATCCAGCGACAGTCAACGCTGGAGAAAAAGATCCATGAGCTGGAGAAGCAGGGAAGCATTAAGATCCAGAAGAAAGGGGACGGTGACATCTCCATCCTTCCCGTCACTCTGACCTCAGGGATGGTGCCGGCAGGGCCAGAGGCTGCAGCTGGTGCCTGCATCGTGCCGGCCGCTGGAGCTGCATCGTCAGTGCCGTTGCCACCACCTCCTCCACCGTTGCCCGCCTTAGCGGCGGC